AGACTGGCTAGCTGTCTATCTATTTTGTTGATCTTTTCAGAAAAACAGCTCCTGGAGTCATTGATTTTTGGAAGGGATTTTTGTGTTTCTATCTCCTTCAGTTCTGCTCTGATCTTAGTTATTTCTTGCCTTCTGCTAGCTTTTGAATTTGTTTGATCTTGCTCCTCTAGCTCTTTTAATTTTGAAGATAAGAGTGTCAATTTTAGATCTTTCCTCCCTGCTCATTTGGGCATTTAATGCTATAACTTTCCCTCTAGACACTGCTTTAAATGTGTCCCAGAGATTCTGGTATGTTGTATCTTCATTCTCCTTGGTTTTGAACATCTTTATTTCTGCCTTCATTTCATTATTCATCCAGTAGTAATTCAGGAGCAGGTTGTTCAGTTTCCATGTAGCTGTGCAATTTTGAGTGAGTTTCTTAATCTTGAGTTCTAATTTGATTGCACTGTGGTCTGAAAGACTGTTTGTTATGATTTCCATTCTTTTGCGTTTGCTGAGGAGTGACTTACTTCCAATTTTGTGGCCAATTTTAGAGCAAGTGTGATGTGGTGCTGAGAAAAATGTATATTCTGTGGATTTGGGGTAGAGAGTTCTGTAGATGTCTATTAGGTCTGCTTCATCCAGATCTGTGTTCAAGTCCTGGATATTCTTGTTAATTTTCTGTTTTGTTCATCTGTCTAGTATTGACAGTGGAGTATTTAACTCTCCCAGTATTATTGTGTGGGAGTCCAAGTCTTTTTGTGTAGGTCATTAAGAACTTGCTTTATATATCTGGGTGCTCCTGTATTGGGTGCATATATATTTAGGATAGTTAGCTCTTCTTGTTGCATTGATCCATTTACCATTATGTAATGTCCTTGTCTCTTTTGATCTTTGTTGGTTTACAGTCTGTTTTATCAGAGACCAGGAGTACAACCCCTGTTTTTGTTTTTTTTTTTTTTTTTTCTCTCCATTTGCTTGGTGAATCTTCCTCCATCCCTTTATTTTGAGCCTATGCACATGAGATGTGTCATCATCTCTTGCACATGAGATGTGTCTCCTGAATACAACACACCAATGGGTCTTAATGTTTATCCAATATGCCAGTCTGTGTCTTTCGATTGGAGCATTTAGCCTATTTACATTTAAGGTTAATATTGTTATATGTGAGTTTGATCTTGCCATTTTGATACTAGCTGATTGTTTTGCCTGTTAGTTGATGCAGGTTCTTCATTGTGTCGGTGGTCTTTACCTTTTGGTATGTTTTTGCAGTGTCTGGTACTGGTTGTTTCTTTCCATGTTTAGTGTTTCCTTCAGGAGCTCTTGTACGGCAGGCCTGGTGGTGACAAAATCTCTCAGCAATTGCTTGTCTGTAATGGATTTTATTTCTCCTTCACTTATGAAGCTTTGTTTGGCTGGATATGAAATTCTGGGTTGAAATTTCTTTTCTTTAAGGATGTTGAATATTTACCCCCACTCTCTTCTGGCTTGTAGCGTTTCTGCTGAGTGATCTGCTGTGAGTCTGATGGGCTTCCCTTTATGAGTAACTGGGCCTTACTCTCTGGCAGCCCTTAGCATTTTTTTCCTTCACTTCAACCCTGGTGAATCTGACAATTATGTGCCTTGGTGTTGCTCTTCTTGAGGAATATCTTTGTGGTGTTCTCTGCATTTCCTGAGTTTGAATGTTGGCCTGCCTTGTTAGGTTGGGAACATTCTCCTAGATAATATCCTGAAGAGTATTTTCCAACTTGGTTTCATTCTCCGCCTCACATTCAGATACACTGATCAAATGTAGATTTGGTCTTTTCAAATAATCCCATATTTCTTGGAGGCTTTGTTCTTTTCCTTCTTTTTTCTCTAATCTTGCCTTCTCATTTTATTTCATTGAGTTGATCTTCAATCTCTGATATCCTTTCTTCTGCTTGATCAATTTGGGTACTGAAACTTGTGTATGCTTCACAAAATTCTCATGCTATGTTTTTCAGCTCCATCAAGTCATTTATGTTCTTCTGTAAGCTGGGTATTCTTGTTAGCATTTCATCTAACCTATTTTCAAAGTTCTTAGTTTCTTTGCATTGGGTTAGAACATGCTCCTTTAGCTCAGAAAGTTTGTTATTACCCACGTTCTGAAGCCTGCTTCTGTCAGTTGGTCAAACTCACTCTCCATCCAGTTTTGTTTCCTTGCTGGTGAGGAGTTGTCATCCCTTGAAGGAGGAGAGGTGTTCTGGCTTTTGGTGATTTCAGCCTTTTTGTGTTGGTTTCTTTCCATCTTCTTGGATTTATCTACCTTTGGTCTTTGAACTTGGTAACTTTAGAATGGGGTCCCTGAGTGGATGTCATTTCTGTTGATGTTGAAGTTATTTCTTTCTGTTTTTTGGTTTTCCTTCTAACAGTCAGGCCCCTCTGCTGCAGCACTACTGGAGGTTCTCTCCAGACCCTGCTTGCCTAAGAATCACCCGCAGGGGCTGCAGAACAGCAAGGAATGCTGCCTATTCCTTCCTCTCGTAGTTTTTTTTGAGAAAGTTACCTGCCATATGGCAGCCAGAGCCAGATCACTTGGCTCCCTACCCACAGCCCCGTTTTTTTTAGGGGAATGAGTGGTTCTGTCTCATTGGCATTCCAGGCACCAGTTAAAATGGCTGCCCAGTTTTGTGCTGGAAACCTGCGGCACTGGTGTTTTGGCACCAGCAAGAATCTTGTGGTCTGCAGGCTGTGAAGACCATGGGAAAAGCACAGTATCTGAGCCAGAGTGCACGAGTGTCCAGAACAGTCCTTAATGGCCTCCCTTGGGTAGGAGGGAGAATTTTCAAGTCCCTTGCACTTCCTGGGTGAGGCAACACCCATCCTGCCTCAATTTGCCCTCCTTGGGTTACACCCACTGTCCAACCAGTACCATTGAGATGAACCTGGTTCCTTGGTTGGAAGTGTGGAGATCACTCCCATTCTTCATTGCTTTTGCTGGGAACTATACTCCAGAGCTGTTCCTATTTGGCTATCTTAATTATACGTTTTTCATTCTTCATTCTGTTGGTATGATATATCACATTGATTGATTTGCATATGTTGAACCATTCTTGCATTCCTGGGATAAATCCAAATTGATCATAATGAATGATCATTCTAATATCTTGTTAAATTCAGTATTCTAGTATTTTGTTGAGAATCCTTCATCAATATTTATTGGAGATATTGGCCTGCAGTGGTTTCTTTTTTCTTTCTTTCTTTCTTCTTTTTTTTTCTTTTCTTTTTTCTTTTTTGATATATCTTTATCTGGTTTTAGTATCAGAGTACCAAATACCCAAGGTTTATTATGGCCTTGGAAAATAATTTTGGAAGTATTCTCTCCTGCTTTATTTTTTGGATTAGTTTGAGTAAGATAGATAGTAATTCTCTTTTCACCATCTTTACTAAAAATACAAAAAGTAGCCAGGCATGGTGGTCAATGCCTGTAGTCATAGCTTCTCAGGAAGCTGAGGCAGGAGAATTACTTGAGAATTACGTGGAGGTTGAACGAGCTGAGACAGTGCTACTGCACTCCTGCCTGGGTGATAGAATGAGACTCCTTCTCAAAATAAATAAATATTTGGTAGAATTCATCAGTGAAGCTCTCAGGTTCTGGGCTTTTCTTTACTGGGAGACTTTTTATTATTGCTATGATCTACTTACCAGTTATTGGTACATTCAGGTTTTGGATTTCTTTCTGGTTCTCTCTTGGCATGTTGCATATATCTAGGAATTTGTCCATTTCTTCTAGATTTTCCAATTTATTGGCATATAGTTGTTCATAGTAGCCATGAATGATCCTTTGAATTTCTGCAGTATTATTGTAATGCCTCCTTTTTCATTTTGGTTTTTATTGATTTATTTTTTCTTAGTTTGGCTACAGGTTTGTCAATTTTGCTTAAGCTTTTAAAAAATTAACTTTTTCAGCTGGGCACGGTGGCTCACACCTGTAATCCCAGCACTTTGGAAGGCCAAAGAGGGCAGATAACCTGAGGTCAGGAGTTGGAGATCAACCTGTCCAACATAGTGAAACCCTGTCTCTACAAAAATACAAGAATTAGCCAAACATGACGGCAGGTGCCTGTAATCCTAGCTACTTGGGAGGCTGAGGTGCGAAAATTGCCTGAACCCAAGATTGTGCTACTGTCTGGGTGACAGAAAAAAAAAATTAACTTTTTATTTTATTGGTCTTTAGGGTATGTTTTTTTTTTCCTTCAATTTTATTTATGTATGCTCTGATTTTTATTATTCCTGTTTTTTCTACTAATTTTAGGTTTGTTGCTCTTGTTTTTCTCATTCGTTAAAATGCATCATTAGATTGTTCATTTGAAGTTGTTCCTCTTTTTTGATGCAGGCACTTAGAGCTATAACTTCCTTCTTAGTACTGCTTTTGCTGTATCCCACAGGTTTTGGTATGTTGTGTTTACATTATGATTTGTTTCAAGAAATTCTTCAGTTTTCTTTTTAATTTCTTCATTTAGTCATTCAAGAGCAGATTGTTTAATTTCTATATATTTGTGCCATTTCCAAAGTTTCTCTTGTTACTAATTTTTAGCTTTATTCCATTGAGTCAGAGAAGACATTTAAAATAATTTTTAAAAATTATTTCCATTTTCAAAACCTGTTTTAAAACTTGTTTTTATAACCTCATGTTGGGCCTATTGTTGAGAATGATCCATGTGCTAAGGAAAAGAATGTGTATTTTGTGCCTCTTTGATGGAATGTTTTGCCAAAATATATTAGATCCATTTGATCTACATTGCAGATTAAATCTGATGTTTCTTTGTCTATTTTCTCTCTTGAAGATCTGTCCAATGCTGAAAGAGGAGTGTTAAGCCTCCAGCTGTTAATGTTTGGGAGCCTATCACTCTCTTTAATACTAATACTATGTTTTGTATATATCTGGGTGCTCCAGTGTTAGGTGCCTACATATTTTTAAAATGGTATATTCTCTTGCTGATTGACCCCTTTATTGTTACAAAGTGACCTTCTTTGTCTCCTCTTACAGTTTTTGTGTTGAAATCTATTTTGTCTAAAGTAATAATAGCAACTCCTGCACTTTTTTTGCTTTTCATTGGCATGGAATATCTTTTTCCATCCATTTATTTTTATTCTCTGTGTGCTTTATAGGTTAAGTGTTTTTCTTGTAAGCAACAGACCAATAAGACTTGCTTTTGCATCCATTCAGCCAGCCTATGTCTTTTGATTGGAGAGTTTAGTCTGTTTACACTTAATGTTATTATTGATAAGTAAGAACTTTCTCCTTTCATTTTGTTATTTGTTTTCTGGCTGTTTTATAGTCTTGTTTGTTTGTTTGTTTCTTTTTCTTTCTTCTTTCTTTCTCTTTGTTTTCTGTTTTCCTCTAGTGAAGATGGTTTTCTCTGATGATATGATTTATTATCTTGCTTTTTTAATTTTTTTCTGTATTTGTTGTTGTTGTTGTTTTTGGCTAGAGGTTACTTTGAGGCCTGCAAATACTATCTTATAGCACATTATTACTTATTTAAGTTTTAAGTTAAATGATACATGTATAGGTTTGTTATATAGATAACTTGTGTCATGGGGGTTTGTTGTACAGGTTATTTTATCATTCAGATATTAAGCCTATTATCCATTATTTATTTTTCCTGATTCTCTCCCTCCTTCCAGCCTTCCCCCACTGTTAGACCCCAGTATGTGTTTTTCTCCTCTATAATAACACATTATTTTAACCCAATAACAACACTATTTGCACAAATAAGCAAAAAGAAAACCAGTAAAAACTCTATGCTTTAACTTTGTCCCCCTCTTTTTCACCTTGTATTTCTATTTATATCTTACTGTACTATTTCTTGAAAAGTTATTGTAATTATTTTTTTTTTATTGGTTCATCATTTAGTCTTTGTACTTAGGATAAGAGTAGTTTATACACCACAGTTACAGTGTCATAATATTTTGAGTTTTTCTATGTACATACTATTCCTGGTGAGCTTTGTACCTTCAGGTAATTATGTATTGCTCATTAATGTTCTTTTCTTTATGATTGAAGCACTCTCTTAGCATTTATTATAGGATGGGTCTTGTATTAATGAAATCCCTCAGATTTTGTCTGGGAAATTCCTTATTTCATTTTCATGTGTAAAGAATATTTTCACCAGATATACTATTCTAGGGTGAATTTTTTTCCTTCAGCACTTTAAATATGTCTTGCCACTCTCTCCTTGCCTATAAGTTTCCCTTGAAATGTCTGCTGCAAGACATATTGGAGCTCCATTGTTGTTGTTTCTTTCCTCTTGCTGGTCTTAGGATCATATATTTATCTTTGACTTTTGGGAATATGATTATTAAATGCCTTGAGGTAGTCTTAAATCCACTTGGTGTTCTGTAATCTTCTTTCTCTTTGATATTGATATCTTTCTCTAGATTTGGGAAGTTCTCTGTTATTATCCCTTTGAATAAATTTTTTACCCCTATCATTTTCTCTGCCTCCTCTTGAAGTACAGCTTTACATTTGACCTTTTGAGGCTATATTCTAGATCCCGTAGGCATGCTTCTTTTTATTATTCTTTTTTTTTTTCTTTTGCTCCTCTGACTTTGTATTCTCAAATACCTTGTTTTAAGTTCACTATTTTTTCTGCTTTTAATCAATTCTGCTAATAAGAATTGATGCATTCTTTAGTATGCCAAGTGTATGTCTCAGCTCCAGAATTTCTGCCTAATTCTTTTTTAATTATTCCAATCCCTTAGTTAAATTTATCTGGTAAAATTCTGAGTTCCTTCTTGGTGTTATCTTGAATTTCTTTGATTTTCTTCAACACAGATAATTTTAATTCTCTATATAAAAGGTCACATATCTGTTTCTCAAGGATTAATTCCTGAAACTTGGTTTAGTTTATTTAGTGAATTCATGTTTTTCTGGACAGTGTTGATGCTAGATGTTCTTTGGTGTCTGAATATTGATGAGTTAGATATTTATTGTAGTCTTCACTGTCTAGGTTATTTGTATATTTTCTTCTTGGAAAAGCTTTCCAGATACTTGAAAGGACTTGGGTATTGTGATCTAAGCTGTATCTTCTTTATGGGGCACCCCAAGCCTAATAACACTGTGGTTCTTGCAGAATCACAGAGATACCATGTTAACGGTCTTAGGCAAGATCCAGAGAATTCTCTGGATTACTAGGGAGACTCTTGTTCTCTTTCCTTACTTTCTCTCAAACATACAGAGACTCTCTCTGTTCTGAGCTACCTGATGCTCAGGTGGAATGACACAAGCACCTCTATGTCCACCCCTATGCTTACTTCACTTGGTCAGATGTGAAGCCAGCACATTGCTGTTTTGCCTAAGTCCTGCTGTAAAAAATTTCTAGCTACTACCTGTGTTCTCTCAAGGTCCCTGGACTCTACAATCAGCAAGTGGCAAAGCCAGCCAGGCTTGTATCCGTTTCTTCAGAGTGACAATTTCCCCCAGGCCTTGGGTGCGTCCACATGTGCCATACAGGAGTCATGGGCTAGAGTCAAAAACCTCAGAACTTTACCTAGTGTTCTATTGTATTGTGACTGAGCTGGCACACAAACCACAAGACACAGTCCTTGCCACTCTTCCTTTCCCTTTCCAAAGGTGGAGGAGTCTTACCCCATAACCACCAGCACTCCAGGCCATGAGGAGTACTTCCAGACTACTGCCAATGTTCCATTAAGGCCCAAGGTCTCTTAAGTCAGCTTGTTGTGAATGCTGCCTGGCTGGGACTCACCCTTTAGGGCAGTTGGCTTCCCTCTGGCCTGGGGTAGGTCCAAAAATGCAGTCCAAGGGCCAAGTCCTAGAACTGGGAAACAAGAGACTGCTTATTGCTTTATCCTCATGTAGCTAGGCTGGTACTTCAGGTACAAGACAAAGTCCCCTTTACTTTTCCCTCTACTTTTCCTAAGCAGGATTTTTGCCCCATAGCCACCATAGATGTTAATGTGCTGAGTCTTATCTGAAGCCAACAAGTCTCAGAGACTCATCCAAGGCCCTTGATGTTATACCTGCATATTACTGTCAGTTATTCAGGGCCCAAAGTCTCAGCAGTTAGTAGGTAATAAATGCTGCAAAGATCGGGCCCTCTCCTTCAAGGCAGTGGGTTCCTTTCTCATGCAGAATGTGACTAGAAATGTCCTGTAGGTGAAAGGGCCTGGAATGGGGTCCGCACAATTCTGACTGGTTCCCTATCCTGCTGTGAATGAGATTGTATCCTGCGTGCAGCACAAAGTCGTTCTCATTGTTTTCTCTTGTTCTCTCAAGCAGAAGAAAGGGGTTACTTTTGGAGTCATGAGCTGTGCAGTCTGGGGTTAGGGGAGAGATGATGTCACCACTCCCTTGGCTGGCCCAGCTGGTGTATCAATATGTTGCTTGCACCCAAAGTCCACCATCTGAAGTCCTAATCCAGCTGTAGGACTCAACTAAAAGGTGCAGTCCTTATGGACTAGACTGCCTTTCAAGTTTATTTGGAAACACAGAGTGCCATAGCCCTCAGTGCTGTGGTTTGCAGGTACTCAGGATCATACTGCTGGCATTGGCAATTTCCCTCTGCCTAGGTCTGGTTTAAGGGCTCCCTTTGTGGGTGTGTGTCACCTGAGTTTGGTCTGGGTTTCCTTTCTGACTTAGCAGGACAGCACTGAGTTCAGTGCCTCACAATTGTTGTATTCTCCCTCTCCTAGCATACAGATATGCTCTCTGCACCATGCCACAGCTACTGGGAGTTGCGGAGGGTTGGAGTCAGCAATTCAGTATTTTGTGTTTTGTTTTAATCTCTAAGTGTCTCTTTCGGTGATAGGAAGTTAAAACCGGGTACTGTGAGCTTACCTGATTTTGGTTCCTATGAAGATGTTTTTCCTGTGTAGATAGTTGTTAACTTGGTGTCCTTGTTGACGGGAATGATTGGTGGAGCTTTCTACTTTGTCATCTTGCTTCACCTCCTCTCAAAATCTGCTTAAAATGTTAACACAAGTTGCACACACAATATGACCCTAACTCATTATCATCATGTTCTTGAAATGTGTGATACAAAAAACAATGTGTAGCCAATCGATAGTTTATATTACTTTAATCAAACAATGTAAATTCTTGGTAAAACACTTAACTGTTACCAACTTCCATTCTTTTATATTTCCTTTACAAACCTACTTGTAACTGCTACTAATCTGAGCATATATTTAGATTCGGACAACTTGAATCTATGATTTTCGGTATACAGTCCTCAACCGTGGCCCAAAGAAAACTCTATTTATATCTATTTTGCTTCAGTTTCTTCCTTTAGCTCAACATAGTCTTTCTTCAGTTCAGGACCATGTCATTAACACTTGTTTTGTTTAATGTTGGACAGTTTTTGAATATAATTTTTTTTTCTTTTGGAGTTTTTGAAATACTTACCCACCCTATCTAATTTTATGTTCTTAAAGTCATAAGTAGAGATTTATATATCAGAGTACCTGTCAAGTCTTTATATCTTTCCATAAACCTCCTTGAAGAATCAACACTTTAGAATTTGTAAAGAGCTTTCAGAAAATAAGCATTAGAATAAAGCAAATTAGTGAATATGCCAAGACATATCAAATTTTCAAAAATCTCATACAATTTTGGAAATCCATATTAATAACATTTTCAAACAAATATAACTCAAAGAATTTTAAACATCATTTCTAATTTTACAATGCTTCTTATAAGCATTGTAAATAAAGAATAACAACAAATAAGCCTAATACAGCAAATAAGCGCCTTGGGCTTCCAGGGACCATTCTGGGAGGCCAAAAATTAGTCTGAGGTCAAAAGACTTAACTTTATAATTTTAATTATGAAAAGTTTGTCAAATATAAAAGATTTAAAACACTTGATCAAACTAGGATCACAGCTTACTGTAAAATAATAGTCATTCATTTAGCCAAAGTAGTAATTCAAAAATTTCAAAATTGCTGGCCAGATTCTGTGACTCCCACCTGTAATCTCTGCAATTTATTAGACTGAGGCAGTCTGATCACTTGAGGCCAGGAGTTCAAGACCAAATGTCTACTAAAAATACAAAATATTTTCTGGACACAGTGGTATGTGTCGAGGCATGAGAATCACTTGAACCTTGGAGGAAGAGGTTGCAGTGAGCCAAGATGGCACCACTGCACTCTGGCCTGGGTGACAGAGGAAGACTCTGTCTCCAAAAGTAACAATAGTAATCCAAGTGCAAAAACTTTTGCTCTTTAGGGTAAACTTTTACTCTTTAGGGAAGAGACTCAGTTTTTTTTTTTTTTTTTTTTTTTTTTTAAACTAATAAAGACAGCATGAGAAAACCAGAATATACCTCTTTCCTCTTTCTCAGTCCTTCCTTCCACACCTTTTTAATATTTTTGCAGTTTACTCAACAGGCAAACAAAAGTCTTTTGGTGTCCCTTATTAATACTATGTGAAAATCTTGTTCAAAGGAGAAAAATAAACTATACTCTCATTTTAGTCTACTATTAACATCAAGCTTAATCTTAATACAACTTTATAATCACTTCTATCTAATCTCAATAAGCTTTGATCAGACAAGATAAGATTTCCATAAACAATTATCATCTTTTATAATTTTTCCTATCCTCTTTTTCTCCCAACTTTCTGTATCAATTCAGTTTTATCTATCATTTTTTGTTTTATTGCTTCAATTTAAAACAATCTTGGCCAGGTGTGGTGGCTCATGCCTGTAATCCCAACTCTTCGGGAGGCCAAGGCAGGGGATTGTTTGAGCCCAGGAGTTTAAAACCAGCCTGAGCAAGATAGTTAGATCCAGCTATATAAAAATAAATGAATAAATAAAACAACTTTTAAATAACCTTTCAACTAGGCAAAATTACTTTTTTTTTTGAAAAAAAAACATGTTCTCATGCCTTTGTTAGAACTTTCCATATCAAAATTCATCCTATTTTCCTCATACACAATTATTTTTTATGTATCCGTTTTAATTAAATATATTAATCTAAAATGTTAACTCTTAGTAAACCTAATCTACAATGAAAAAGTAGGAATTACGAAATTTTAATTGTTATGTACCAGGAGCATAGCCTAGGACAGAGAACAGAGCTATAAAGAGAATTCCTGAAGGATCCAGCCCCTTTCAACATAACCAGGAGGCACACCTGGGCCAGGGAATATGGGATCATATCGGGCTTAGTTCTGCTCTCTAACTGGTGGGCCATTTGCTGCGGACACACATATCCCCTGGCCTCATCATGGCCAGTAGTCTAGACACCAGAATCAAAAGGCTAACAACCAGAGCTCACAAATAATTTAAGCAAGTATCAAAAATATTACAGAAACAACAGGTTATGACCTTGAAACGTCTATCAAGGTGTTTAGATGTTTATATTCCACTTTCTTAGCAATTTTAAAACTGGTTTTATTTATAAAAGGTGGCTAAAGTCACATGAGTTTGAAAAGCATTTAGGCTTATTTTTTTTAATTTATCAGCAATCATTTATTTATAAGCCAATATGATACCATGTAGACAATATCTAAACAGACATGTAGACCTGTACCCCTAAAAATGGAAACAAGCATAAAGACTTTATAGCTTTATTTTACATTTTAAAATCATAAGTCACTAGTTTAAAAGAACAGTTAGATTTAGTTATGCCTCTGTAAATGGAACAAGATAAATTTATCTGTCCCACATGCCAAAAACCTTCCCAAGTTTCAGAGAAAACAGTGTGGCAAATTTACATTTCAAAGCACAGACAGAATTTAAGCTTTTCAAAGGAGTTTAAGTGTATTTGTTAGAGGAAGATTAAAAATGGATGCCAAGGTAGCACAAAATTATAGGAATTTACCCTTGAATTTTATAAGGACACCAATTTTATTTAGATAGGTAGCTTTAACTTTAATCTCTATTTTCTAGTTGAGGCACTGAGCTCAGGGTGGGGACAACAACTGGGGCCAAAAATACATGTGCAGTTTCCAGAGCCTGATTCTTACGTGAAAAACAGGCATACTGGAAGGTAGAACACCCAGATCAATAAAAACTAAGGATCTCGTTTTTATACTAAGTCTGGGGCCAACAATAGAAGGAAACATCACAGGACTGGGCTGTGTGATGCTTCCACAGGACATCTTCCTTTGAAGATATTTCTGTAATGCTGGTGGGTCACCAAACACCAATCAGCTCACTCTTTGATCAGCCCATTCTGCTTGGGAGTTTTCCCAACACCTTCAGTGTTGAGGTTTTTCACAGCCTCCAAGTGTTCAAACTGCATCTTTCTTATCTAATCACATAAAGAATATCCCCTTGCAGTAATAACCATTCACAGCAACTCCTGTCACCTCCAGAACTTCAGCTTTCACCAGGGAATTGCCAATCATTGAAACAAAGGCCAACTGTTCTCTCATGGTAGTGTAATGCCTGGTACCCAAAAATGCCAAAGGACCAGGAAAGTCGGTGCAAAAGTGAAGAGTTTTACACTTAAAAGAAATCTGCCCATGACTTTTGGGATTCTATGAAGAAGAAAGGAAACTCCCCAAAAAGAGTATGTAGTGCCTTTTTCTTATTCCTCAAGGGAACTCAAAGCCTCTAGCAATCTGCTAGATTTGTTTTATCAAAGATGGAAAAAAAAAGAAGCAAAAGTAGAAGGAAATGGAAGAACCATCTTAGACAAGGCAATTTGCTGCGATTATAAACTGTCCAAAATATCAATAATGTTTTACATTTTTCTCAGCAAAAATTGTGCCAAGTAAAGAAGCAGACAGAGGGGCCAAACATAACTACATAGGGGATTCAGTCAACTGAAAACCTTTTACCAAAACAGGGTCTAAAAGAGAAAAAATCTGCCCTTCTCAGCCTCCCAAAAAAATCTGCCCGTCTCAGCCTGCTGGGATTACAGGCATGAGCCACTGTGCCCAGCCTCATAGAGCTCTTAAAAAATAAAAAAAAATAAAAAAAATAAAGAAAAGAAAAAGAAAAAAAAACAACACACTTTTCAAATATCAGATTTCAGCCAGGACAAACAGCCAATATTCCTGGCTTTTGATTGGCTACTATCTTTTTCATTATTTTTTTCTTATAATTTTATACCTATTTTTTTAATAGCAATGAGCTAAATATTTAGCTTTCTTTTTGGAAATAAAAAAAAAATAAATGATTAATAAGATAACCTGATCATTTGAAAACAATATTTCTATAGTAGATGTCTGGGCCACTCTGAAAGGCATTAATAAGTGTTTGTTAATTTGAAGCAGGCCAGACCTTTCAATTTTACTCTACTTACACTATAAATAATTATATACGTTGCATAACTCCTATATCTCCCTCCACAACTCCTTTTTCCCTTCTTTTGATTGTTCTATGTATCATGCAACCTGTGCACATTTTCTGTACTTCTTCACCTGTAAGTACCGTGAACTCTAAAATATGTATCAGCTCTTAAAATCAGTTCTTATGTACAGCGATCTGATAGTGTTAATTATATTAGTAATTTCCAGCAATGACTAATAGTTAATGAATATGTAAGGGATATGAGACACACGCAAAAATAATTAATTTTTTCTTTTCTTTTTGACACTGGATCTAACTTTTATTGCAAGGGCTAGAGTGCAGTGTTGCAATTATGGCTCACTGCAGCCTTGACTTCCCAGGCTTAGGTGATCATCCCAACTCAGCCTCCCAGGTAGCTGGGATTCCGGGCACATGCTCTCATGCTAGGCTATTTTTGTTTTTGTTTCTGTTTCTGTTTTTTTTTGTGTGTGTGGAGATGGGGCTTTGCCATGTTGCTGGGGCTGGTCTCAAGCTCCTGGGCTCAAGCATTCTGCCAACTTCAACCTCCAAAAGAGCTGGGATTACAGGCATGAGCCACCATGTCTGACCAAAAATAATTCCAATATTTATCAAAATGTAACAAGTATCAAAATTTGCTAAAGTAAATGCTGTGAGCGCTCAGAAGAAGGAGAGCCAATTTCAACAGAGATTGTGGGCAAAATTTGTCTTATGCCTTTAAAAAGAGGCTGATTGTTGATATTGAGGAATGGAAGAGGTCCATTGTTGTTAAAGATATTTGTTTATGGTAAAGTGCAAGAAAGAAAAAGGAAATGGCATAATTTTAGAATCCTACAGGTGATTTTGATAAGATTTTAAGAAATAGAAAGGAGAGAAAATATCAACTTGAAATAAAAGTTTTTACTTAGAACAGAGTGTAAACAACATTTTTATAAAGGACCAAAGAATAAATTTTTAGATTTAGAGAGTTACATAATCTGTCTCACAGCTACGTAACTCTGCCATTATAATGTGGGTTGGAAAGAGGGTGATCCTCCCTATCATAAAGGTCACCATGTACACTTCATGACAAAAGACAAGTTAACAAGAGAAAAGCATAAAAATGTGTTAACATGCATAAGTGATAGGGTCAGGAGGCAGAGCAAGGCCTAGGCAGATAGGGAAGGATCCCTGGAGAATCTCCAACCCACCTGACAAATGTTTATGCCAGATATTTGGTGCAGATACAGGAACCTGCATAGGAGGCTTGCCTGGGCATGTCTGCAATGAACTGAAGGTACTCATGAACTGAAGGAATGGGATGGAGTCACCAGGAATTCACACCTTATGCAGGGGAGGAGCCTGGCCTTTTCAGCTCATTTGTGATGGCCCTGGTATTCAATTTATGAGATGGAAATCTGCTTGCAGGACCCCTTTCTTTGCTGAGAGCTTTCTTTTCTCCAAATAAATTTCACCCTTCTCACCCTTTAGTGTGTCTGGATGCCTAATTCTTCTTTGTTATGAGATCAGAACCAGGATGAGCAGAGCTAAGGAGCAAAAATTCTGCATTATAAGCACGGAGCCATACAAATAATGAATAAAACCCAAAGGGTAAGATAGTTAAAGCTTATATACTTTCTTCACTGGGTAGAGGAATTTGGTGGCACTGTAAATAAATGAGCTTTAAGACTAGACAATAGTTTGTAAATGATTCTCTTTGGAGGCTGAATGGGAATCTAGGACAAACAATACCTTGTGGACAAGGTATAGGAAGGTGAGATGCAGGACTGCATTGGGCATGAAGGTTGTCTTCTTAAGTACAGTAGCCCGGGTTACCTCTTGAAGCTGCCCTCAGGAAAATAGATGAAAAGTCTGGGCACAGCAATGATTCCCAATCCCCTTTCTTCTCCAGTGGTTAATATTTCCTAGTTATTTTATGAATTTCCTAGGTAAGAGGTGTTAATTGCATTTCCTTTTGGAAAGAAGGTTTTTTTGATAATATAAAAAAAAAAAATCCAGAAAGAGTTCTTCTTGATGCTCAGAAAGAAAAAAGAAAAAGAAGAAGGAACAAGGCAAGGACAGGTGGGTAGGAGATAGTCAGAGAGAGACCTTAGTTCTGAGGGTTATTTCTGAGGCTTTTCAATGTTCTTTAATTCAAAGCGTTTAGTATGCCAGTGTGCCATATTTTGGGGTAGAATTTTCTGTGCTCTAACAATAGCAGTGAAGTAGCCATAGATTAACATAACCTAATGAATGGAGATACATTTCAATAAACATTTGTTTACAAAACAGACAATAGCTGAATTTGGCCCATGTGGCACACTCTCCTGACTCTTGGCATAGAAGATATGAGGGACTTGCATGCCATTGTAGGAAAAAAGTAATATAATTTTTTCTCACCATTACAAAGTTCCTGACTATGGCAGCTATAAGAAGAGATTAACATCATGAAGCACACAAATGTATTATATAATTTTTACATGAGATGGGAAACTACATAGGGAAATGAAGATCCAAAGAAATAGGGAAATCTGTGTATTTTTGTGCTTAGATTGAATAGTGAACAGTCATGCAGAGGTATGGTTGGACAAGGAGGATAAGATCTAATGGTAATAAACTGGGGGAATTTAGGAAGGCCTATTTGTTTAGATTATCTTCTGTGTTCCTGTATCTGCAGAGATAAGGACTTTCCTTTCTTCAGGGTATAGAGAGGGCACCATTCAAATGAAACCCTTATGACCTACTTTAGAGAAAGGGCATATAATTCTTTATGGCTTGCTTAGGGGAGAAGAGTAGGAGAAAGTCAGAGAGATTTTCTTGTTTCTGCTGCTGTCTCAAATGCCAACGTGCCACTTTTGAAGGTAGAATGTGCTGAACCCCATTTTCATTCTAAAAATGTTGATGTGTTTCAAGAAGGCATGCACAAAATCTGGAAATTGGGATGGAGATGTGGATGGTACTTTGGTAGTAGCATGTGGTTGAAAATAAAGGATGTAAGAAAGATACTTTCTTTTCTAAAACCAAGTAAATGATAAAAATTATAATTTTACGATTATGCATAGATGACCCACGACTTATGATTGTTTGACTTATGGTAATTTTGACCTGAAGATTACACAAAAGTGACACATAGGAGAAACTGTACTTCAATTACCCATACAACCATTCTGGTTTTCACTTTCAGTACAGTAATCCATAAATTACATGTGATATTGAATGACTTATTATAAATTAGTCTTTGTGTTGAATGATTTTTTTCCATCTGTAGGCTAATGTAATTTTCTGAGCAAGTGTAAGGTAAGCTAGGCTAAGCTATAATATTCTGTAGGTTAGGTGTATTCAATGCATTTTGGCTTATGTCATTTTACATTTAAGAAGAGCTTATCAGAATGTAATCCTAAAGGAAGTCAAAGAGTATTAATAGTTGCAAAATAGTTAACTAATAGAAATCAGTCAAAAGCATAGTTTAACTTTTTATACTAGTTTGAAACTAATTGATTTTTATTTCTAGTTATATTATCTGGAATTATTTAGTTGAATTTTCAAAATTAAATGAAATATCAAAACAAATCCTAGATATTTTGCAGTAATTTCTAAAATAAAGGAAAATTTTAATCTTATGGCAGTGATTATGTTACTCTCTGCTGTTCATGCCATTGTTATTTAAAAAGCCAAATTCATTGTATTCTACACATTATCGTTTTTCCCTTAAAACAATATATTAGTTGATACAGCCATGCACATAGTCCCCTAAAGTTTTAAATAGAGTGTTTAAATTATTGATTTCATGTATACATGTCAAAAATAGGACTCCAGTTTTAAAATAAGTTTCAGATAGGTGCATGTATGCATTTGCTAATGATATCTTTCAAATATCTATAGTCAGTCTTGTAGATTTTAGATGTTTTGAGAAGTAAAGACAGTTTTAATATAAATTCATAAACCAGAGGGTTAAAATAAGTGAGAATGTCTAATATTTTTGAAAGTCACATGTGCCAATCAGCCGCCACGTGACAGATTCTTAGGAAGAAACCTATGTAGGGAAGCCCTTTTTAACATGACTGTGTAGGAGGTAAGAAAGTGAGAGGCATTAAGTTATACCTTTTTAGAGTAGAAAATGGAAATTGCTCTTTTCTAACGTGTACTATGTACCAATACAGTGCAATACTTCACTTGTTCATATATATAAAAAAACTGAGGGTGATCACATAAATGCACACATTTGTTTGCATTATCAAATATGAATTAAAAGTTCTTTTTTACTTGTTTAATTATTGAATATTAGAACAAGGAGTCTGTTACTTTAAACATGGAAACTGAATTTTAGTGAAGTTAAATGACTTAATGAATATAGCAGGTAAGAAAGGTCTGCATTATCTTGACTCTTAAGTCAACTGCTCTATTTGAGAGAAGTCATTTTTCTCCATCATACAAAGAGCATTTAGCAGATCTATACAATGGAACCAGTGTCCTTCCTTACCATTTTAAATACAGTCTGCATAATATTATTTAAAATTTGGATAGAGAGCTATTAACCCTCACACATGTATTATATAGTAATAATATCAAGGCTCTCTGTTTTGCTCAGCAGTAATCTGATTCTCTAGCTGTGATAAACTGCTTTGCCTTTGGCCTTCTAGTTTAGCCATTTAGGAATTGGATTATTGTCTCATAAAACAGAGGGGCAATGATATCATTGCTTAATTATAATCGTTATTAAAAGTTCTGAATCATGCCATTATCAGGAAAAGGGCAAGCGATGGTACTTGAATCAATGACTCACAAAGAACATTTCCATTTATTTTGTGTCAGAAAAATAAAAGCACATTTGGAGTTTATATGCAAAGTGGGAAACAATAGCACGTACTAGCTAAGAGCTTAGAATTTTGAAGCAGACAGAAACGTTCGAATTCCTACTCCAACATTTACTCCTTGTGTAACCAGAGTGTTCATCTGTAAAAATACGAATAAACATTGTGTCTACTAATATTCTAAAGTTTCTTAGAAATGAAATAATACCATGTGTTTCATGTTTAACATAGTGCTTGACATGTTAGCACTCAGTAAACGGTAATAATTTAAAATAATAACACAATAATAATAATATTGATCTTAGTTATTTCAAAATGTCTTTAAATCCACTTTAAAGATATTAAAGATCAGTTCATCACCAGTCATGCTGTTCTTTTACACAAAAATATGGAACATTTTGGTTTGGTGTTATCTATGTAATTCTCTATATTTCAGATTAACATCCTCACACCTTATTTCCAAAGTATTGGGCTTCTTTCTAGAGGTTATAATGAATTCATTCATTCAATGAATATTCAGGAAATGTTTGTTTTGTGTCAATCCCAAGCATAGGAGAACAGAAAGTTTATTGCCTCCAGTAAGTCTAGTAAGTGAGGGTGAAATGATCAAAACAGGTCTCAAATATTAGTGACATTAAATTACAGGAAGGTACACTGGTAATTTGTTGTAAAACAAATCAAATGACTTAAGTGATAAATAGAGTTTAAAAGGAGCTATTGCTGGGACTGAGATCCTGGAGAAATTCTATCTGAAGGAATCTGAGATGATGGGCTGTCAGCTAGACCTTACAAATTAGTAAGAGTTTTAACAGATAATGAATGAATAACATTTCAGATTGATAAAAATGAGTAAATATAAAGAGTTATAAAACTTTGTAAGTTTATAGAGTGATCTTATATAAATTTATAGCAGACAGAAATTATAAATATTATATTAAATAAGGAGATGTAAATTACATATAGAGAAAAGCTAGAGTGAAAAGGAGTCTGAAATAGTAAAATGAGGGAAAATAAGAAATGTTCTGTTTTCAAAGGTGAAAAATATACATACTGAGGAGAACCTTATAGGAGTGAGAAATTAATTGTATCAGAGTCATGTGAAATAGGCAAGTGAAGATATATCTGTGTTCCAGGTTTATGCCACAGTAGGGAGAATAATGCAGCATCATTAATTGAAATATGGAAGAAAAAAGGTTGTATGTATGAGTGAAGATATCATCCTTGTTTCAGAATTGTTCAAGTTCCAATACCTATATGATATCCAAAAAGACATAAGCAATAAAGACAGAATAGAGACATATTTTATGCCATCCATATTATATGGGGAACCAAATAAAATCAGATGTTGTGAATGTTGAGACAAACACAAGAAGACACAAAACGCAAAATATTTTCTTGAGGATAGAGAAGGAAAGAAGAACTAGGAAGTTAGAGTAATAGTTTAAAGAGCAAGAATAGCATAAAGCCTGAAAGACAAAAAATAAAAAGTCCAAGAATAGAAAATGGTTAACATTATCAAATGTCACATTAAGTTCAAGCAAGGTGGGAAACGAGAAAATATTTGGCAATTAGGGAGTCACGAGTGACTTTCAGAATAGAAATAACAGCTAAATGATAAGGTAAAAATATATTTCAAGGACTAATGATTGAGTGAGGAGTAAGGCAGAAGACTCAATAATGATGGACTTTTGTTTTCAGAAATATGGTAGTTTAAAGTAATAGAAATGTAATTCTGGTCTAAGTATAGAGGAAATCTCCAACCAAGAGGAAACTACAATAGCATAATAATATAAGATATATAAAAACACAATAATAATGTAAGAACAAGCAATTGATAGACTCAGTTCTAGGAGAAGAAAGAATTCAATCATAAATTATTCTACGAGAATTCACTGAGTACCTATTATGTTTCCAGGGCTGTGCTAGGTACTAAATATACAAATCTATACTGACTACACAATATACCAGGTAAGATAGAAACAAAATAAATAATTATAGTATAATATGATAGGTTACTTTGAAGACACATAAAAAAGCTATGAATATGTATAGAAAGTGTCTCTAAGTCTGCCTGTTGTAAAGGAAGGAGTGAACAAAAAAGGATTCCAGATGAGGCTGCACTTTAGATAAATCTTAAAGAATAAATAAAGAGATATTCAGGATTTAGGGACAAAGGTAGAGGTAATCTAAGTGGAGGGAGGAGCTTCTGCAATGGCTTAGAGTTACAATGGAGTATAGCAATTTGAGAAGTTACAAGTTTCCCAATATTAGGGTAGAGTTTGATAAATTAATCAGGGACTACAAAGTATTTTGAAATTATTTCACAGAAGAAGCCCCATCATTGAAGGGTTATAATTAGAGAGATTCTACAATGTTTTGCATATTTAGAAAGATCAGTGAGTCTGTGCAAGAATTTGTATTGAGAGTGGATAATAACAGATATTGAAATAGACAGTGGGATAGCTATTGAAAAAAATTATATTAAAAATAATGAGGGATTGAATTAAGGTGGTACTAGAAGGGAAAGGTAAACCTGAGAAATATTTTTGACAAATCTCATGTTGGGAGGTGAAAGAGTTAACAATTTGATGCTGAATTTTTTGTTGCAATTTTTTTCTCCCCCTTGTGTGACTTGATTAAATAATGTTTACATTAACTTAGATTAGTAGTGATAATTCTAGGAAAATATATTGATTTGGACTTGCTGAACTTTTGCAGACCATAAAGCATCCAGGTAAACAAGTCTTACAGTGAGTTGGAAATAAATGTTGCATATATAAAACAAATTTGGTTTAGGAATGCAGTGTGGGAATCATCAACATATAGGTATACACGAGAATGAGTGAAAAAGAAATGTGTTTGACAACAGCAATAGATGATTCTAATAAGGGCTAATGCAAGATGTAGGCAAAGAGTGCATTTGGGGCAGCACATTGGTGTTGAATTTATCCTGCCCATGATGCTATATTTTCTCTGTGATGTAGAAAGAAATATGATCAAGGGTAAGATGAGGATTCAAGATGTCACATGATTTGCAATAGTTGTTGTTGGAAAAAGTGCAATAGCACAATCCAGAGACAAATAAAATAAATGAAAAACTTACAAAGGAAAGAGCTTTTTATCTTGCGGCCAGGTAGATAATTTTATACACTTGGTTGCTACCAGGCAGGAAGAAAAGGAGATATAGTATAATAACAGAGTGGGTAAGAGGGACATTTTAACATTTATCTCATATACTCTGGATCTTTAAATTAAAACGAGACACAGGGTTATTTTGTAAAACAGTGTTAGTGATAGTTTGTAAGTGTATAATGAGTTGAAAGCGATTTTTAGGAACCTCTAGGAGAAATTGTTCAGGTAAAACTTAAAAGACACATATCTAATTTACTGAGATAAAGAAA